AAAAAAAAAAAAAACACAGTAGCTTACAGTAAGAACCCACCAAAGTACTCAATGGAACTTGACCGCAGAAAACTACAGATTGTAAGTAATAAAAAAGCAAAAGAAGTAAGTAGCTTGTAAGAACCATGATATCATCACGGTCCTGCCGTTGATACCCAGTCAAGCAGACAACCAAAGATTTTGCACCTGTAATCCCATTCAAATCTTTCATAGGCCTGTACATGACCTGAAAAGGATTTAAAACACAATATGAAACAGGGCAGTTCACTATTGTCAATAGAAGTCAAATGAAACACTAGAAGCACTAAGCCAAAGTCATTTGAGATTTTGAGAGTCATAACAAGTGTTGAGAAATGAAATGCACATTTGGGAGTACATATGGATATAGTTTAAACCACAAGCAATCAACACGAGCAAACACAAAATACAGATTGCAACTAATGCTTTAAAAGGTGTTCCTTCACATAGGAGGAAAATAATTCGGCAAACTGAACACAGCCAAAATCCAAGTAACTGAATAATAGGCAATTAGCTTACCGATGAGGGATCAACAGGCATTCCCACATCAAAGCTATGGTCAACCCACAAGGCATTCACAACTGCCTTGCCGTCGCTTCTTGCAGCAATGCAAATTGGGTCATCCTACAACAAAGATAAACGACAGTAACGGCGTCTATATACATCATTAGATTAACAGAATTAAAACATATACAACTATGAATGAATTCTAGTAAAACAAGTAGGAAAACAGACATATTTAGGCAAATCCCACAGTTAATGCTAATACACAGATGTGCCTAAATTTCTAAAACCCAATCGAATATGCAAGTGAAATTTTCCAACTCACATAAGTAAGCTTATCAACAATCGCGTGAGTACAATTCGGACCATAGCTCACAGCATCAATTCCTCCACCTTCCAAGAGCTTCAACCGGACCTGAACAGATTCACAAAACACCCAAAACCCAGTCCCATAACAATAGTAAAATAATCAACCTTGGGAGCCAGAAAACAACTGCAGTGGCAGAAATTAACGAAATACAACACATAAACTACATTAAACTTTACAAACAGAAATTACCTTATCTCCTTTGACAGGGTCGAATCCCAGAAGAACAAAGCAAACTCCAAAAAAGGTCTTTGAAGGGTCGTCATATGCAACAACTTGCTTGCTCGACTGCATTGGATTTCAAACACTGAACTGCACCGCACGCACTGCAGGGAGAATCACCGTGAACGATTCAATTAACGAAAGATATCCGTGAAGCTTATTCACAGTAAAAATCAACGGAGGTCCGTTTTTTATTCACAGAAGAATTTGATACAGTGGAATTTATTTCGGAATGGCTTCTCGAGGAAGGAGGGCTAATGGGGGAGAAGAGCAAATTAAGATTGAAATGAGGGACAAAATGGGAAATTCAAGAATAAAGGAGGGATTTCGATTTAATTTCGGTGCTGTGGCGGGAGCGTGAAAATTTGGGCAGTGACGACACGTGTCCTCTCGGGGTCCTAGTTTTGTTGGATTTGGTTTGGTATGGGCCTTTTTAGGAAATTATGTAGCCCGTAACAGATATTGGGCTGTAAAATAAAGGTTTTTCATTTGAGTTTGACCCAATAGAATAAATCTATTTATTTATGAGGAAATTGCATGGCTTACATTACTCTTTAAATTTTATTACATTTTTCCACTTCAGATATATTTATTTTTATTTTTATCTAAAGAAGCTAAAAAATTATCAAATATACCTAAAATCCCACTTAACACTTATTAACCTGTTTTTAATG